AAAATGGGAATGGGAGATGATGAATTGCATCTGGATGTGGAAACAAATAAGAAGCATCAGAGCAGAGCACCGGGGGGGGGGACCTAAGCTAAGTAAAGTGAGATACATGGCATTTCTAGAATACCCCTACCACTCTTCAGAGAGTAAGATGATTAATCAGCTCTTCTTCCTCTCCCATCTACTCCTGGTTACATCTTTTATGCATGTCTTTTCCCATTTTTCAGGACAGGAGGCTCATAATCAGTTACTTAGTTTGACCTGCAGAAACCGCTTCTCTAAAAGCTTCTCGTATCTTTGTTTGCTTGCAGAACAAAGAGAGAATCCTAAAACTTGATCTGGGAAGGCCATAAGGTCTGCAACTCACTTGATACAACTGAGATATACCAATGCAGATTACAAAACTCAAATATTCTGATCAGTATGTTTCCAACGTCTTGGCCAGGCTCACTGCTGATGTGAACTATAGTCCAACATCTGGATGACCACTTGTACATTCCGGAATTATATTGTTATTCCACTCGAGTCTGTGTTCTTCAAACAGCAACACCATCTCTATAAGACTAAAGCACTTGAAGCTTTTTAGTTTATAGACAAAAAAAATGACAAAACAACTGTAACAGGGGTGTACAGAACCTATACATGGAATGAAGAAAGTGGTAGAAAAGAAATCCATTGAACCAGATGGGATTCTTTTCCAGGGATGAAAACAAGACTCTGGATTTGGATGATCTGTTACAGAAAGCTCACTCAGTGTTAAACCTGGATAGCTAGAAAGTCAGGATAATCAAAAGGAAGTACTGCTGCACACAAAGAATAATGAAACTGGATGAAGTGTGCTCCATCAAAATATGATGACCGTCACTAACAAAAATCTTGTTGCACAGCTATACGTGACCACTTTGACACTGCACCCACAGTAGTTATGACAATACCAAGATGGAAGTGCTCTCCACAAAGCACTTTCACTGGTGTACTGTGCAACTGGTCACACTCGAGATGTCCAATTAATTGGGCAACTGCATCACAAAATTCTTTGTTATTGGGCATTATGCTTGCACATTTACACAGGTCTAACTTTACACTTTGCCCACTGACTTAGGCAAAGCACAGATTTAGCAGAAGGCATCATGCAAAACAAGTCTGCTACCTTCATGCTGTATGTATGGACTTTTCTGAAGAACCCCGTTGGCCAGGACTGAAAACAAGATTCTGGATTTGGCTGGCCTGTTACAGAAAAGATCTTTCCCATGATATATTTTTTTCAGCAAGAAAAGCAGGTACAGCAGGACTACAGTATCTGCAGGCAATACCAGAAAGCGCACATATATAGAAACCTATACTGTATATGGCATAGTCACTGGTTCCATCTAATTGCCAGTTCTGGTAATACACATTAGGAAGATATATATTTGAGGTTTTAATTTAGTATTTTCAAGCAGCAGATAACTGATCTCGTGGATATGGCAGTTCTGCTTTATGGGCAAGACAATGAAACATTTCAGAAACAAGCAGCTTTGACTTTTCTCTTTCTTTTTGGTCATGATGAAAATATACTCCTTTTAAAAAATTATTTATTTATTTGATTTATTTGATTTATATACTGCCCATCTGGCAGCCAAGGCCACTCTGGGCAGATTACAACAAAAGACAACAGAGTAACAAAATAGCAAATAGCAACATGTATCCTTCTATTACTAAGCTAAAAATGTTGGCTTCTTAAAACGTATTTGTAGTCTCTCGGCATCAGAATGCCAAACTGTATTGCATCTTGCTAGCTTCATTAATTCACAGTATGCTTTTCTTCTACAGCCCTTGCTTCTGGTTCAGAGAATTTTCCTCTAACCAATGGTAGCATTAAATGATCATCCAAGCTTCAATAAAAAGGATTATCAGCATCTGCAAAACTAGAATATTCATTATACTTTCAACGGAATACCTGAGGCCATTGCATGGAATTTTCCTTATAACAAACAATGAGGAACAACAGAAACTAATGGAAATGAACATCCCTTAATTAAACATATTTTTTAAAAAAAACAAGAACATCTACATATACCCTATCTATTTTAGAGATAAACCACATTTCATCTTTCTAGACAAGCTACAAATAAATGAGAGAAAAAAGGCAGCATTTAAATAGTGTGTGTTCTTGCCCTGTACAACCGGTAATACTTTATAAATATTAACAAAAACATCCAATTTTTAAAAACCATTTAGCAAGTGTCACATAAATCTTTAAGTTCTCTGTAAAGTTATCATATCTTTATTCATTTCCTCTGGGAAGCTGAAGAAATGCATGATTTCTAAGCAGACCAATTGAGTTTTTAAAGAATTGCTAGCAATAATCTCAAATCAGGTGCAAAATTAATGCTGATGATGGCTAAATGGGAAGAAGGTTGTGGAAGAAGGTTGTAGATTACAGGATAATCTGCTCTTTTCTCATGTTCCTGTCCTCTTAAAAACAAATTTTTATCCACTGGTGTAACAGTAGTGATATTTACCACAATTAGCATTAACCAGTATCTCTTACAGACTTACCATGGCCAAACAATATATCCATTATGATATAACACCTTCCTTTCTCAAATTTGTTCAAAACAGAATATATCCTCCACCCATATTTTATCTTTACCATAAGTCTGTGAGGTAGTCACCAAACTTACATCTCCACTGTTAACTGTTGGAGCAGTACCACAAGAGCACCAATTACCTTGGGAGGCGGTGAGCGTTCCAGGGCTGGAGACACTCAAAAGAAAATTGAACAACCACCTGTCAGATCTGCTTGGATTTGGATTCCTGCACTGAGAAGGTTTGGACTCGATGGCCTTACGAGCCCCTTCCAACTCAATTATTCTATGATTCACTGCCCCACAGTGAACGAAGTTGGATCAAATGCTGTCAACAGATCTCTACAATAATGCACTCCTAAAGGGTACACTACATTTTTCATGTGTGTTTTCATAAAGCAACACACAACAGAGATGAATCCAATACAACGGCCCAGATGTAAAGCATCTGCATGGCTGACATTTCCCACAGCTGATCACCAAATCCAAACATATAACACAAACCCCACCAACAAATGCTTCCCAGTACTGGAACACCCGGGAAAGCCTGATTCTAAAAGTCTTATCTACTCCATAACATATCTTATGCTGCCTGTTTGTATCACCCATACTGATACCCAGGATAATCAGAAAATTCTGTTACTAACTCACAGCCATAGCTTCAGTTGACTATCTGAATCATGGAACATGTGTTGAAGATAAAGGCAGCTGTATTACTGGAAATACAACTAATACTACAACAGCATACTGAGGCGCACACACTTCGAAGTATGGCCCCACTAAAATCAGTGTGGATTACATCCTAGTAAGCACAGACAGGTTTCCTACTCCACCTCCTGATTCTTCTATTTATGTGTGAAGTATGTAAGTTCTAATTCAAGAAAAAGGAACTAGAACTGTCATGAAACAGAAATAAATTATGTGAGTGTCTCTTGGTACAGGAAAAAAAACAAGCAACAATAAGCAATGGAAAAATTACTTATGAATGTCCTTGAATAAAGGACAAAAAGAAAAAGAGGCATAACAAAAGCCAACAATGTTCATCACAAGAAGCCACATAGCAGGCATCTTTCATACAGCCAACACATCTTATACAGACTACTATATACCACCAAACCTCACCTCAAAGTCCTTGCACTCCGATACCTAAATCTAAGTGTCACAAAGTGATGACCTGAACAATCAATTCATGTGTGAGAGATGGTTGGAATTTTAAAAAGATAACGGTGAAAAAAATCATCTATGTCATGGCTATGAACACAGGATTCATTTATTTATTTATGTATTTAAAATATTTTCACCCTGCCTTTTTCCTTGAAAAGGACCCAAGGTGGCTTACAACATTGAAAGACAATATTTAAAGTTGAAAACAATAAGTATACAATTGTGGTTAGCATCATTAAAGGACAATATTTAAAGCAAAGAACAATGAGTATAAAGAGGGATCTTACATCATTAAAAGGTAATATTAAAGCTAAGAACAATAAGTATACAAATATTAAAAAGAAAGAAAGGGGGGGGGGACAAATGTCACTCTGCAAAATGGAAACCCCAAAAAATGGAAAACGTAAGTAGTACTAAAAATCCAGTCAAAGCAGTAATACATAACAATCTATCTAAAAATCTCACACAAGTAGCTAGTTACTGAGGGAAGGTTTGCCTGAAGAAAAAGGTCTTTTCCTGTTTGCAGAAGGATAGCAAACATGGGGCCAGTCTGACTTCCTGTGGGAGGGAGTTCCAAAGTCTGGGAGCAGCAACAGGGAAGGCTCTCACCTGTGTCGCCATCAGACCCACCTGTGATCACTATACTGTATACCTTCTGCTACAGCACTTACTATTTAGGAAACCAGTAATTGCTTATTAGGCTGACTGGATAACTCAGTGAGGTAGGAGATGTTAGAAGTTTGACTCCCCACTGTGCACCCCAGGAAAAGAACTAGCCTGTGTAGCCTTGAGCAAGCTGCACCGAGTATGCTCAGAAGATGGGAATGGTAAATTATTTCTGAGTACTCTACCTAAAAAAGCTTCCCATAGGTTGAAATCAACCTGACGGCATGCAATTATTTAGTATTTATTAACTGCCTGTTACAAGCTGCCACCAAGATGTTTTAAAGTACATGCAAACTATTGGCAACCTCAGTATAATAGCAACACCAGTTACGTGTTCAAAGTTATTTTAGGAACCCTGCTGACTTGCACCTTAAGACGAAGCATGGAATTCAAGAAGGAAATTTTCTCTTTTGAAATTATGTGTCTTACAGGGCGATTAAGTCAAGCTCAATTGAAAGCGAACTCTAATGACAAAGAACCCATCCTCTATAAGGTCTCCGTATTCTATTGTCAGCACAAAATGATCTAATACTGCAGCAGTTTGAATATTTACAGTACATTAGAACAGTATTTGTTTTTTTTTTTAAAAAGGAAAAACATTACCAGTAAAAAGCTATTTTGTCTCCAAGCTTTTTCTCATAAACATTTCTATCCAACAGATTGTAACAAATATTGGTTGTAGCTCCTTTCATCCATTCAATAAAGATTTTCCCTTTAGTGACATCAAAGTTGTACTGCAGGAAGGGTCCAGTGTTTTGGCTCCTCCAGTAAAATTCTTTGGCAATATCACCCCAGAATTCTGCAAAACAAAGCAAAAGAACATTCAAACTTAGGCCATAGTAGATGGCATAAGTCAGCAACACAAGACATAAATGGAGTTGGTTTTATTTAAAAAAATAATAATTCGAATTCTTTTGTCCAAGCTAGAATAGATAGTTGTTGTGGGTTTTTCGGGCTCTTTGGCCGTGATCTGAAGGTTGTTCCTCCTAACATTTCACCAGTCTCTGTGGCCGGCATCTTCAGAGGGCAGCACTCTGTGCACAACCACCATTAGATCCCAGCCGTGAAAGCCTTCGCAAATGTACAGTACTAGAATAGATACAGTACTTTGAATCAATGGGCTCTTCATAAATGTTTATTCAGCAAGGTCCAAATGATTCAATGGGCCTACTCTAGGGATGAACAGTTAAGATTTAATCACTAGGCTGCAGTCTTGTGTACATTTACCTGAGAGTAAACCTTTCTAAAGAGCATGATACTTTTATATACACAGGGCTGCATAGTTAGGGAGCGTTGTTACTGTAGTTACAATGGCTTAAATACAAGTCCTTGGTCATGCAATGTACTCAGTTCATGCTTCAGAATGATCTTAATGTTCTCTGTTACCAGAAAATAATCACAGCCAGAAGAAACAAGTTTTGTTTTATCCTTTTAGCATGGCAGATCTCCATTCCCCTCCCAACTAAATTTATTTAGCTATAAGCTCACACGAACATAAGATCGCTGCAAAGGCCCATCAAGTTCAGCATTCTGTTCCCCTACAGTTACTGACTAAATGCATATGGGAAATTCAAAAGCAGCACTTTAAAGTAACAAAGCAAAAAAAGCCCATAGGGGCCATCGCTGAGCGAACGCTCCAGCGATGGCCCGGGACCCCTCGTTGTGCGGTTTCATCGCATAGCGAAGCGTTCGCTATGCGAGGCACCACTGTACTGACTAAATGCATATGGGAAATTCAAAAGCAGCACTTTAAAGTAACAATCTGTCTTCCATTGTTGCTCCCCAGCACCTGTGCCATTCAAAGATATATCTGTCAGCAAGCCTGGAGTTTACATACAACCACATACATGTGCCACATGCCAAAAACTCAGTGGAGTTATATCTTCTTACAGGTAGCAACATCATGTAATCATATTTAATGATCTGGCTTCTTCCAATTTTGAATACTGCAAGGCACTTCTTAAAATTGTTCTTTTTCTAAATACTTCTTAAAATCTCTACTTCTAGCCACATCAGGGGAAAAAAACACCCAATTCTTTAATGCAGAGATGTCCAGAGCTCATTCTCTGCTCTGTGTTCGTCCATAGGTCACACTGATTGCCAAAAAATGCCAGAAAGGAAGAGGAAGAGGAAAAATGAGAAGTGATTGGAAATCCACCTATAGTTTTGAAAAGCTGGTAAATTGTGGTGTTCACTACAGAGGGATCCTGTGATGCATTTCAAACATGAATATCTGGTCCTGAAGACTTAAGAGTCTTGCTGGAGAAAAACGTTTTTGACAGGGAGACTGACAGGGCAAGAAGTAGCAAACACAACCTTGTAAGCCCTCTTTGTCCACCCCTCCTTTAATAGGCCCAACACACCAAAACATACACATGCTTAAAAACATTTTTATCATATTGCAAATATCCCATCACAAATTCCAGAGATTTGATTGACCAAGCTACCTTGCTGAAACAACTACAAAAAAAAAAAAAGGAACTTTTAAAACTAACAAATGTGGGTGAAGTTCATTCTCTCTTAGCTGTCAATGTGCTACAAGCCAGATTCTGACTTTGAATTTCTGATATTTGTGATTAAAAATTCCTTTCCTAAAAAACTGACTTATAAAATACCGCTGAAAACACACCCTAATAGTGTTTAGTGTCAGCTTGAACAATACATCCATTTACACAAGAACTGCTGGTTCATTTGATACAGAACAGATACTGACACAAAGCAGTACTTCTTATGTACTCAATAATATCCTACAAAGGGTAACATATATTTTCTAATGTGGAAATTAAGAGAAACGTCACACATGAAAATGTGCCAGTTGTTTCCTCTCTGAACACACCTGGATGTTGAAGACAAGAACAGATGGACAGCACCTCATGCAATTAATTCTGGGTCTACTGGGATACATTAAGGAAAGCTCACCCATGCTAGCCATTTTCTATTACAGGCTTTCAATCTGTTGTTTTCTATCTTTTAAACAGTATATTCAGAAAACTGTCCAGTTGAACACACTTCCTCATTTTTGCAATCATTGCAAGAAAAACGTTAATTGTTTCACTTGCATGAATCAAGAAAAGGCCAGCACCCAAGCCAGCAGGGCACTTCCTGGTGTAGATTACTACAAATTGCCAAAGTATACATCACACCCATCATTTGTATTATGATTCTGCTCCACGAGCTAGCTCACCAGTTCTTCACTAAATCAGCACTTCACCTGCTTTATGCCACTGTTTAAAACTTCAGTACTCCCGAGACAAGTGAATCAGTGCCTGTCTGCAAATTGTTGAATTAGGGACAGAAGAAATTATCAGTGTCTGACATTATGTAAGTGAAAGACAGCTGTGCCATGTTACTTTTAAAAAGCACTGGCAACTTTTTATCCGTTGTTCTAAAATAAGAACAAACAGGGAAGAAGGAACTCTCCTGGTATTTCTTTCACCACATTAACAATAAGCACTGCATTAAAACAATTGCAATAAAGAGATATGAGAAAGAGGGAAGATCAAAACATGTCATCTATGGGGCTTCCTCAAAGGCTTTTCCACTAATGGCCTCTACCAGGATCCAAAATCACAGCATCACTTTTGAACAAATTGTAGAGCTGACAGAGTCCAACCAAACCTTTTCATTTATTTGTGTTACCTTGAAATGGTCCCAAAGGCATTTAATAGGGCACAACTGATTTCTAACCAGCCCTTAAAAATTGATTTTATGACACATGTCTTTGGGAGCCTTAGTGGGCAGAAAAGCAATATATACATAATCCCAAACTATGCATTTAGAGTCTTCACCCACCCACATTATCACAAGATGGGAACATTTTCACGTTTCCATGGGGTTCTCCCTTCTTCTGGATAAAAAACAGCTTGCTTGGCTGCCCTGTTCATCCATTCCAGAAGGCTGGAACCCAACTGTAGCCCACTCTCTGGATAATACCAGGAGCATTCCACATACCCTCATCAACACTGGCAGAACGAGACCCGCCAGTTTGACTTAGGCACTATTCCTAGTTTAACCTGTTGTGTCATTCAGAAAGGAAACAGGACAATTACCTACTGTTTTAAGGGACAACTTCACTAGGCTTTGCCTCTCCCTGTCTGTCATTCACAAGTCACTAACCAAAATGAAAGGGGGGGCGGAAAGGGCCACTGGTCCTCCTGAGAAGCCAGCTTTCTTAGGTTTTGTTGTCTGCAATTATCATCTAACAGCCGCACCACATCAAAACTTGTGCCTAAGTGTTCTTTGTTAACCTTTCATTCCCCATTCCCTTTTTCTTTTTGCATTCTATCTTTTTTTAAAAAAAATTATAAATCTGAGGGTAGATTTTAGAGTACTGTATTAATCTATGTCTGAAGTGGACCATAATCTACAAAGGCTCCCAATAAAATGAATGTTTCTCATAAAGATACTTTTCCATTTGTATTGACTTTTTGCTGAAACACTAATATGACTACGTATCTGAACATACAATATACAAACAGACTGAAGATACCGGTTTCTTGAGAGTGGCTGTTGTCCTAGAATCCCAGACCTAGCACAGTGCAATCCCAGCATTGGTTTCTCAACAGATTGTGCCTTCCAAACTGGGACACAACTGCAAAAGTACTGCCACCTTTTTTTCACAAAACATCAATACTACTTCCACAGACAAACATATCCAGCCCCTGATCAGATCATGGGAATGTTGATTTTATATATATATATATATGACAAACACATGGCAAAGCTATCTGCATATGTACTTTGATTAGCAAATGTAAATTTTAAAAACCTAATCAGGTTATACTGTGATTCTATATTTTTTTTAAAAATGACAGGAAAAAATGAAATAAATGTGGTGCTGGAGGAGAGTTTTCTGGATGCCCTTGCCTGCAAGAAAGATGAACAAGTGGGTCTCAAATCAAATCAAGCTTGAAATATTGCTAGAGGTAAAAATGTTGAAACTGAGGGTGTCCAACCTTGGGCACATCATGAGAAAACAACAACAACAACAACAACACATCACGAGAAAACAACAACAACAACAACAAAACCTAAAATGCGGGAAAAGTTAAAGTCAACCGGAAAAGAGGAAGACCAAATGTGAGCTGTACTGAAAGGAGCACATAGGCTTGACTTTGCAAAAGCTAAGCAGGACAGGACATCCTCCTGTTGAGGACAGGACATTTTGGAGATTGTTCATTCATGGGGTCACCCTAAGCTGGAGGCAGCTTGACAGTTAATAACAATAACAACAGTAACATTTGCTGCATCTGTTGATCTGGGTATGGTTGAAAAAAACAATACTAAAGGTATAGGAATTTGCAGGGAAAATTCATGAACACAACTTGGCATCTTCCGAAGAGCTAGTGCTGCTTCCAGCTCTAGTCATACATACTGAATAGGGCTGTGGGATTCCGAATAGGACCTCCAACGCACTACACTTCATTTGCAAGTCAACAACAACAAAGAAATCCACCCTGCATTTTTAAACAGAACGAAGATATTGCCAGTGGTCGAAAACACAACTTTTAAAAGACCTGTGGAGGTGATGTAAAGGAAGTGATTAGGGCTGTGCCGACCCCCAGCAAAGCAATCCTATCAGGAAGAGATGCATCTTGTGCCGCAGTTGCTACCTGGACATTCAAAGGTGGGCGCAAGACCCTTGGGGGTGCAAGGCCTTGGGGAGAACATGACAGCCTTGCCTTTAGGGCCGCTCGTCTATCCGGACAAGAAACGGGCCCCTGCCCCATGCTGAGAAACGAGAAAGCGGGAGAAAGACCCGTGCGAAACATATGGCCAAGCAACAGAGAGAGAAGATACAGAGCGAGCACGAGTCCGGCGCCCTTGAGGGAGAGAACAGGGTCGCTGCACCGCAACTTTTTATATGAAGACTCCGCGGCCCGGCCCCCAAAGTGTGCCCAGGCAGCCTCCGGAGGAGACGCCTCCCCGCCCCTCCCCAGGCCAGGAAGGCGACGCGCCTTGAGAAGCGGGCACAGGCCTGGAGGGCTCCCTTTCGCACCGGACCGGGAAAGGCGCGGCGCTCGTAGCAGCTACGACAGAGAACGGCCTGACACACTCACCCTCCGGCTCTTCCACCGAGCGGCGGTAAAGCTCCCGGTACTTCTCGAAGGAAGGCACATGCGCCTCCCGCGCCAATTCCGGGGCTGCCCGGTAAAGCCGGGCGCAGCGCTCCTCGTCCGGCAACACCATCCCTGCAGGGAGACCGCCGCTCGAGCAGAGAACCCAAGAGGACAGACGAGCGCCCAGCGAGGACCTGGCGGGCACTGTGCGGGGCGACACCCCGGCCCGATAGGCTCGCCTGAGGGGGCGGGGCCCGGCGGAAGCCCCGCCCACGCCCTCCTGCCGCCGCCGCCGCCGCCGTTCAGTGGCTCCGCCCGGAAAGAGGAGGGCGGAGAATCCAACTGTGCGCAGCGTTTGGTTCGCCCTCGGGGGAGAGGTTTTTCTCTCCCCACGCAGTGGTGTGATTACTTAGCCGCCTTAACAGGATATTTAATGAGCTTTCAAAGAGGCTCATTATCTGTCCTAGCGTGCCTTTAAGAAAAACAGCACCAGAGAACACTGTGGTGCCTTGAAGACGGAACAGGTTAATTGCAGTGTGAGTTTTCGGAGATGACAGTCGACTTACTAAACCCCGGACGCATCTGTCCGGGAAAGCTCGCCCTCACGTAAATCTGTTTGTCTTGAAGGTGCCAACCGCAATATTTCTCTAGGCATTTTTTGTGGTTTGTTTTACGCAATTAGATAGTTTCGGGCTGGGCACTTTAGGGGCCGCTCTGATCGGTGGCCGTGTCTTGCTTCATTTCCTACTGTACGGGTAAAAAACCAGTTCTGCAAGATTTTGAGCTTCCTCCTCCTCATTTTACTGAATGGCGCCCTGAACTTCTGTCCTGTAACTTTAGTGCCAGATTCCCCGTATTTTGAAAATTACTGTACTTCTCATTGGTTCAAAATTGGGAAAGGAGTAGGACAAGGCTGTATATTGTCCCCCTGCTTATTTAACTTATATGCAGAATACATCATGCG